AACATTATGGAAGCACAAGCAATAGAACATAGTCAAACTAGAGTCTTGGACTTCAAGAGAGCTAATTTCAATAAACTTAGAGAGGGCTTGGGAAGGATTCCATGGATGAGAATCCTCCAGGGGAAAACAACTCAAGAAGCTTGGGAAATTTTGAAAAGCAAGATAATAGAAGCCCAGTCTAGCTCAATACCAACAAAGAGGAAAAATAACAGCTCTCAAAATAAACCAGCATGGCTGCATAAAGAACTCTCTGATAAATTGAAAGATAAAAAGGACAAGTATAGAAAGTGGAAAGAGGGGCACATAACTAAATCAGAATATCAACAAATAGCCCGAGCCTTCAAAGATGAAGTGAGGAAAGCTAAGGCTCATAATGAACAAAGGCTTGCGACCAAAGTCAAAAATAACAAAAAAAGCTTATGTATACCATCTTTTAGTCTTTGCAAAAAGGCAGCTGGGGATTCGTCCTTCTCTTGTTCTTTTTTTCCATTGCCGGCAATGGGGTGGGCGTGGTTTTGCCATGACACATCCGGCCTGCGGGCCAGCAGTTTGACACCCCAGTGCTAGCAGGTAAAAATTTGATGGAAAAGAAAATGAAGCCAGAGAATCCACTGTTTTTTTTAACTTGGCCCACAATAAAGATAGCCCATACACAAACCTCCTTATTGTGGGAGAATAAGGACTGTAATGGGGTATTTATGTTAGCATTCTTTTCTGTCACCTCAAGGACTGGTGGATAGCATTTTTACTGAGCTACTAGGAAGATCCTACATTACTTCAGCAACTGCTGAGTGATGCTATGAAAATGCTTTAAGTCTAGTGACAAAATGACTTAAGTCCTTGAATGCCCTTTACCTACCCATCTTACAAAACTTATTTTAGTACAGAACTCACCAGTTGGAATGAGAATCTGCATATAACCAAAAATCACTGTCAGCCTGGACTCTGTTGTATATGCTGCTATACTACACAAGCATGAAAAATTATATGTTAGTTTCTTCATCATTTTAGGTTTCATTTGTTTTTCAGGCTTGTATCCCTCATAGAATGAAGATATACTTGGATAATGACTAGCAAGATCTAAGACTAGAAAAATACAGGTAGTCTTCACTTAACAACTGGAACTTTCTGTCCCTTAACAATTGAGAGTGGTAAGTCTGTCACTAAGCAACATGATCATTAAGTGAGATGTCACATGACTGCGACTTGAGATTTTACTACCAGCTTCTCCATTGACTCTGCTTGTCAGAAGCTGCCTGTGAAGCGCACAAATGGTGATCATGTGCCCATGGGGATGCTGCAACTAAGTATGAGAATCAGTTATAAAGTTACTTTTTCAGTGTCATTGTAACTTCAAACAGTTGCTAAACAGGCCAGTTGTTAAGCAAGGACTACCATTAAATCAAACCCCATTAAACTGAGATTAAATTTTCTGTTTGAGTACATTGGTAAAATAATATGGCACATCATTATATTCTCAAAAATTCTTACCAAAGCAAAGAGGAGCTCTTTGATTAAATGCTGAGTGCTTCCAAATGATATTAAAATGCTTTTTACCTGTTTCTTCTGGATCACATGCTTTGAATGTGCATTTTAGAACATGTTCTTCCGAGTACTGGCCTGCATTCAAAATGATATTCTTACTGCTGATACCAATGCTGTCCCGTGGCATTGCTAAGGAATTAGGAAGTTACATTTAATAAAAATTTGGATGTTTTTCTTAAGATTTGCTCAATTTATTCTTGACCTTTCTTCTCTCTTTAAAAAAAATCAAAGAAGAAAAATCTTAACTGGATCTCTATGGTCAGTGGTTCTGAACTTTTTCATAGGTATAACTGATTCTGAACTCCATATCTTTTAGCTGTATAAAAAGACTGCTACCTTTTTCTTTTGGAACATACATAGTGTTAGACACCAAAAATAGTCACAAATTGAAATCCACTCTGTTTGAGTTACAAATAGAAAAGAAGTTTATTAGACTTCACAACAAAGTTTAAAAGGTAACGGTTTGCAAAGCGTGGTGGATTCAGGAAGGCAAAATGCAATGTAGCCAAGCACTGAACCACACCCCAAATTCCAAAATCACATATTATTATACATCCTATCGCGACACCCCATTCCCTCCCCCATGGCCCCATTGGCTTAGGCTTTGGAGGTTACAATCTATCAGAAGCGCCTAAACAGAATACATTATCTCCGCCCCTGTTTGCTTACATTATACTAATAAGATCCCTCCCCTACTATCCTGTTTGCTCAGACCATATATGTACATGCTTATCAATTCTAAAGGAGAGATGTCTCCCATCTTCTACACCTGTTAGATCAAGTAGGGGTACCAGGTACCAGAAAGTACTTAAAAACAATTCCTAGATGGTGACTCACACTGGGACCCACAGTAACTCCTGTCCCCCGCCCCCCGCCTCCACCTGAGGCTTGTATTTTCCCTATATACTCAAAGCATCTACTCAGGCAATTGATTATAAAATGATAATTATAAAATATAAAATATGATTACATGATAATACTAAAAGTATATATATATTTATTTTTAAATGTCCTCGCTACTTCCAGTTTTTTCCACAAATCCACCCTTTTTCTTTTTACCCATTCTTTAAAAATAAAACATTAATTTTTTTCCAAATTTCTTTGTATTTCTAATGTCTTTTCATATTCTACAAAATTAGTTTCTTCATTGATTTGTGTAAGGTTATACATTTTTCTCCCTAGTGATTCCTTCTGATTACTATGTATTATTCCTTCTACAGTACTTTGAACAATATTCTTAATGAGAGAGATGAGACAGGGTAAAAATATTAATCCCATAATGATTATTACAAGCATGAATAAAGCTTGCTTCCAGTTTCTAAAAATTCCCCCTAAAAAACCCCCTTCATCTAAAAGAGCAGTCCAAGTCTGGACTGGAACATGTACAAGTTGTCTCATTTCAGTGGTTAATTGCTTCACCACTGTACCTGTTTCATCTATTTGTAAGCAACAATTAGTTAAATTAAACTTCCCACATACCCCTCCTTCTTTAGCTAATATATAATCTAATGCTAATCTATTTTGATACACAGCCACTCTAAGCTTATCAGTAGTTTTTGCCAAAATATTTAAAGCAGTATCTATTTTTCTTCCAGCTAATTCTAATACAGCCTGTAATCTTATTATTCTATTTAACATATAAATGGGCGTTCTCAGTGCTTTTTTTCTAAAAAAAAAAAAGGTGCCGGAACTCACACACATCATACAACCCGCCTTGCCTACCCTACAAGGTTCCATCCAAAAAAGGTGCCGGAACTCCGTTCTGGGTGTTCTATGAGAAAAAAAGCCCTGGGCGTTCTATATCCCCAAGATCCATCTTCGGCCCAGGTAGCAGGCCCATAGATGCACACAATCTTTTCTGGTGTCCATTCATTTCCTCTCATTGTTTCAACATTACATGTAATATCTGAATCAATAGATCTTTTATAGCGATCTAAATAATCGTAAATAGGGATTCCCAGTGTCTGTTTAGTTCTTAGGGGTAATAAAAAGAAAGATGGTTTAATCCATCCTAAAACACATGACCCACCACAGTTACCAGGCAAACTTTCATAGGCTTGGTTCCCACAAATCCAATACATATTTTTTGGGGCTATCCATTTGCTGTTATCTGTTTTATTTAAATAAGTTCCCCATTCAGTGAAATTAAACTTTTCTGGTTCACTTTGATTCCCTACACTTGTCCATTGTTTATATTTACCATCCCAATATCCCAAACATATCAAATCTCCTACCTTTTTAGTTCCATTTCTCTTAAAACAGTTTTTTCCTACTAGATTAGGACTTAGGGTCCATATAATCTGTTGGTCATTTCCAGATCGCCCCGTAATATTTCCTTGCTTAGTCATGTTGTTGAAGATCACTGGGTCTGCTTCTAATGCTTCCCAAGGCCACTGTTGTCCCATATTAGTTCCTCCACATACAAAACAATTTTTAACGGTCAAGGTTTTGGCTATATCCTCGGCCATATCCATAAACAAGTTACTTGCTTTCTCACTAATATCTATTTCCTTTTCCAATTGTCTTAAAGTATTATAAACTGACCATCCTATTGTTTTGACTTCCCCTGCATATATCTTTTCTTTCTTTATAGTAATATAAGTTGATGGATCTAATCCTGTACCATCTATCCCAAATCCATAACTTACTACTTCAGCATGGTTGTTAGTGATTTCCAACTCCATTGTATTAGTTCCGTATATTCTTTTAAATTTGGTAATACCACTACATCCTGGATAACCCCCTCCAGTGTAATCACACACACAACTCCACCCTGAACATTTAATAGATCCCCCACAAGGTGACCATTGATTGGGGTTCCCATTTGCAAAGTTCAAATTAGTGGGTCATATATATTTATGATTTTGTTTATATGCTGAGATCCAACTAGAGTCCCCACACTTTGTGGCGAGAGGAGATAAACTTAATATTGTACATGCATCAAACCGTATTAAAGCCTTTTCTGTCCCCTTTTCTAATATTTTAGTGGAATTAACATATATTAATCTTCCTTCACCTTCAGGTCTCTGTCTCACTCCTATTTTAGCTAGACCTACATATATACTAAAATCTAAATATGTTGGCATTGATGGATCATAACATTGTATCTTCTTGTCTTCTCCCTTACAAACTGAATATTGTGTTTTATTTAATTGGCACATAGATTGAAATATACATCCCTTAGGTGCTTGGGTATGATATACCAAGGTTTTAATTACTGCATTCCCTTTGGTGGCGTTCGTAATGCAGGCTTCACATCCTTCTGTTTTTGTTGCTTTCCTATATCGTTCTCTAGAAAGGGAGAGATAGATAACCATGGACAAGTATACAACACTAAGGATTTGCATTTTAGTCACTCTTCCTCTATATCTAAACTTTGATATTTTCTAAAGGCTTCTTGTTGTTCTTCCTGGACTAGTTGAATTGAAGGAGTATCTTTGAAAGTATATCTTACCACTCTGGTCTATATCTCAGTATATTCCTCAAAAGGTTTCAATTTCTTCTCAATGAGTACTATATCACATGGTCCAAAATGTTCTTCACATCCGGTGCATCTTACACAGTCAATACAATGGAAACAACAACAACAATCAACATAGCATTTACAGTCACAGTACCAACACATCAGGTAAAATATTAAGTTCTTGAATCTCTCGAGGCTGTTGGGATTCTGGGCACAATATGGATGTGAATTCGTTCCTGGTCTGGCACACAATCACAACTCCTATAAGACAAAGAGATAGCAAACCTAATCCCACCCAGTCATATAGATCTGGTTTGGACATTCGGTTACTGTCGCTTGAGAGTGATCTTTAAAGGTTCTGGATTTGGAACACAGGTCCACTGTTCTTTTGGTTCAGCTACTGGTCCCTTCACTCGTGTGTAGTGGGTCCACCCTTTTTCCGCCGTCCGGACTGCGGTTTCAGAGGTCAGCAACACTTGGAACTTAGTTTGTAATTTTTCCTCCTTCCAACTCCGGATCAGAACCCAATTCCCCACACAGATCTTATGGACAGGAAACTCCAGAGGCGGCATCTGCGCCAGCAATCCTTGCCTCCTGCAATGATCAAGATACTGGGACAGTTTATGCACATAATTTCTCATCACTTTATCTCTGGTAGATAATGAATCCATGCAGATTTCTCCAGGTGGGAATCCCACCCCATATAACAATTCATACGGTGATAGTCCTATGCCTTTCCTTGGCTGAGTCCTAATTCTTAGAAGAGCCAAAGGTAAGCATTTGATCCAGGGCATCTTTGTTTCCAAGATTAGTTTACTGATTCCTTCTTTTAATTTTCCATTAGCCCGTTCCACTTTACCACTAGAGGGCGCATGCCAAGGTGTGTGAAACTTCCAGTTTATTCCCAATGCTTCCCCAATATTTTGCAGGATTTTCCCAGTAAAATGACTACCTTGATCACTATCAATTTGGGTTACTAATCCATATCTTGGAATAATGTGTTCCAATAGGATTCTAGTAACCGTTTTAGCTGTAGCATTCACGGTGGGAAAAGCCTCAATCCATCCTGTTAAATGATCAATGATTACAAGAAGATATTTATAGCTACCCACTTTAGGTAGTTCAGTATAGTCCAGTGATGGCGAACCTTTTAGAGACCGAGTGCCCAAACTGCAACCCAAAACCCACTTATGCATCATTGGGTGCCGGGTGGGCGTGGCCCATGGGGTGGGTGTGGCCCATGGGGTGGGCGTGGCCCATGGGGTGGGCGTGGCTGCGGTGGTAACAGCAGACTGAGTGGGACTAAAAAGTTCAATCAATCAATTCCAACTTTGCACGATCTTTTTTTTTCCCGCGAGAAGTTGAAATTGACTGATTGATTGAACCTTTTTTTTTTTGTACACGGCGGCGGAGGTCTAAAGCGAAAAGGTTTTATAAAACCCAGCTGAAGGCCTAGGACTGGGGCGACGGCACATGTGCCCACAGAGAGGGCTCTGAGTGCCGCCTCTGGCACCCGTGCCATAGGTTCGCCACCACTGGTATAGTCTATTTGTACACACTGAAATGGTTTAAATGCTGGAGGTCTTCCCCCTGCTGGCTGCTTTCTTAAAGCCTGTCTGTTTATTTTCTTACAGACTAAACATGATTCCACCACTTGTGCTGCAATTGTATAAATCCCAAAGCAAGCATACAATTTCAAAATACAATCTACTAGAGCCTTTGTTCCCCAATGACTTCCTTCATGCAAATATGCTATTAATTCTTTAGCAATCACTTTATTGATTACTTGTCTACCATCCGGTAGATGCCAAACACCACCTTTCCCCTCCTGTCCCCCTGCTTGTCGTATTCGCTCTTTTTCTTTATCATTAAATATTGGAACTTCAATCTTTGTTTTAACTTCCGGTATCAATGTGTTCATAATAATTTCATTGCTTGCTAATTTAGCTTCCTCATCAGCCAATCGATTTCCAATTATTTCAAAGGAATTTCCTTTTTGGTGTGCATTAACATGTACTACTGCAATTCTTTTAGGTTGTTCTAAGGACATTAACACTTGCTTAATTAATTCCTCATGCACTAGTTCTTTCCCTTTACTGTTGATCATTCCCCGAACCCTCCATATTTTTCCAAAAGTATGGACCACACCAAAGGCATATCTAGAGTCTGTATATATATTTCCTATTTTACCTTGCAACAATTTCAATGCCTGGTTTAGGGCATATAATTCGCATGTTTGTGCTGACCAATTAGTAGGTAGGCTACCAGCCTCCAATAATTCCTTGGTGTGTCCATTCACAATAGCATATCCATTTTTCCTAATCCCTGCCTCTACTTGGGATGACCCATCTATAAACAAAGATTCCCCTTTTTCCAAGGGACATTCCTCCAGATCAGGTCGTATTTTTGTTTGTATCTCAATTACTTCAGAGCAGAAATGCTCCAAATTCTCTTCACTTGTTTGCGATTTATTCACTAAAAATTGAGCCGGATTCACATTGTGATCCGTTGTCAAAACCAAATCATTCTTTTCCATTAAAATAGCCTCATATTTTAAGATTCTCGAATCAGTCAACCAGCGACCTGCTTTTTGCTGGAGAAGTGTTCTTACTTGGTGAGGTGTGCTCACAATGAGAGCCCCCACAAAAGTTAATTTTCTACTTTCCTGTACTAAGAGGGCTGTTGCTGCTATAGCCTGTACACAGACTGGCCATCCTCTTACTACAGGATCCATAATTTTTGACAGAAATGCTACAGGTTTGCATTGACCCGCCCAGGTTTGAGTCAAAACCCCATAAGCTATTCCCTCTTCTGCATTTACAAACAAATGAACGGGTTTGTCTAGATTGGGAAGGCTCAACACAGGAGCTTGGGTCAAAGCTTCTTTAATTTGCTTAAAATCTTCTTTTTCCTGATTTTCCCACTCCAAATCCCATGGTTCAGATTCAATCAATTTAGCATACAGAGGTTTAGTTAGGCTAGCATAGTTGTCAATCCATAACCTACAATAGCCTACCAGACCTAAGAATTTTCTCAGGTCCTTTTTATCTTTAGGAAGAGGCTGTTTAACCACCCCTTCAATTCTATCCAGTGTTATTTTTCTACTGCCTTTACTTATCAAATGTCCCAAATACTTCACGTCTCTTTCAACATATTGTAGTTTCTTCTTAGAAACCCTCAACCCCTTTTCTCCCAAAAATTCTAGCAATTTATCAGTTGCCTCTTTGACTTGATGTTGTTTCTTTCCTGAGATTAATAAATCATCTACATATTGTATCATGTATGTTTCTCCAGGGACCTGGAATTGTTCCAATACCTGTTCCAAAACTTGTCCAAACAGGTTTGGAGATTCCGTAAATCCCTGAGGAAGCACAGTCCATTGATATTGTTGTTTCCTTCCTGTAAAGGGATTCTCCCATTCAAATGCAAATAATGGACGTGATTCCTCTGCTAAGGGGCAAGCCCAAAATGCATCTTTTAAATCTACCACACTGAACCACTGGTGTTCAGGTGGAATGTGTCCCATCAAAGTATATGGGTTTGGAACTACAGGGTGTCTAGTCCTCACAATCTGGTTCAGGAGCCTAAGATCCTGTACCATCCGAAACATTCCATCTGATTTCTTTACAGGAAGTATAGGTGTATTAAAAGGTGACATGGTAGGTTCTAATAAGCCATCTTTCACTAGACCATCAATTACAGGTTGTAGACCTTTCTGACCCTCCATTGACAATGCATATTGTCTCTGTCTTACTACTTCATCTGGATTTGTTAATTCTATTTTTAGGGGTTCAATTTGAAAACCTCCCCTGTTTCCTTCCCCAACCCACACCTTTGGGTTTATCCTCTTTTCATCTTCTTCTGTTAATACAAAAAGAGGATTCATTTCTTTCTTAAATGTAATTGTAAGTCTACTAAATCTGCTTTGAGAACTACCTAAAAATTGGAATTGGTGCAGAATGTAACCATATAACCATACCATCTGTATGTCTATGGAGATTCTCAGTCATCCAGGTCTTAGTTATCCCAAAGGTGCTTTTTCAGGAGGCAACTGCAATTTTTGTTCTTCTTTGAAGACGTTTCCCTTCTCATCCAAGTTTCTTCAACTCTGATTGGATGGTGGGGAATGGAAGGATTTATATTCCTTGCAGACAGCTGATCATTTGCATTCTTTTAGAGGGTCGTTGAGGCCACTTGGAGGTTTGTCTGTGTCCAAGGCTCCATACCCATTTACACTACTCTGGTGACCCTGAGGCCAGACAAACCTCCAAGTGGCCTCAACAATTCTCTAAAAGAATGCAAATAACCAGCTGTCTGCAAGGAATATAAATTCTTCCATTCCCCATCAATCAGTCAGAGCTGAAGAAGCTTCTTGGATGAAAAGCGAAATGTCTTCAAAGAAAAACAAGAAAGTCCAGTTGCCTTTTGAAAAAGCACCTTTAGGACATACCATCTATATTAGGAGTCCCCAACCCCCAGTTCGTGGACCAGTACCAGGCCGCGGCATGCCAGCAACCGGGCCGCACAAACAAGCAAAGCCCCATGGGCAAGATGCAGGCAGCACACAAAACCATGCACCCTCCGGTCCGTGGAAAAACCTCTCTCCACGGAACTGGTCCCTGGTGCCCAAAACGTTGGGGATCTCTGATCTACAGTATATTGGCTTCTAATAGTGTTGGTTTACCCTTTAAACCCCTAAATAATTGGTTCCTGGTATTTGCAGAACCATCTCTTTCTACCCAATTTGTTTCTGCTCGTTGTATATGTTGAGGGTTCCCAGAATACACAAGGTGAAATCTAGGAGAGACCTGAAGCAGTTTCGCTGTTAAGGGCTCGATTTTGTGGAATAGACTTCTTCTAGATGTCACACTGTCTTTAAAAATAACCCTGCCAAATGGAGTTTTCCCAAAGAGCTTTTGAAAAATTGATATTCCCTAATATGGATTGGTTCCATCGCATTTTAAAATTTACTATTGTTTATTTTAATGTTCAAGTTTAATTTTATTGCACTTTTTACATTTTGTGCATTATATTTTTATAATGACAAGTTGCCAGAATTGTGCAAGTTTGGTAGCACATAAATTAGATATACTCCTATATTTAAATAATCAATAGCTTTAAGAATAAACATTCTTTTGATTCAACGTATGAGCAAAAAATAGAAATCTTATGCAGGTGCTGTAGAACAGCAACTGGCAAAGCCGGGGGGGGGGGGGAAGCAGGGCATCAGCTTAGAGTCTCTATGTAGTCACAAGAGGTCAAAGACCAACCCCCCCCATGCCACTGACCTCCAAAAACTTGCATATCCATAACCCAAATAAATCCTATGCATATCTCATCCAACTGCCATAATGGTATCTTACTGAATGTTTCTCATTCAAGTGAAATTGGCAGCCAGTTGTATCTAGAACTTTGTCATAAAAACTAAAGTATACATTAATTTTAATAGAGTTAAATAGGAAGTGATAATGGTTCATAAAGCATTAAATATAAACTGCTATAATATTAACAATTTCAGGAATAGCTAATACTTACTATCTGTTGACAAAACTGCAGTTAATTGCACAACTGCTCTATTCTCAAGAGTGTTGTTATAAGCATGATCCATCATCACTAACAAGTACTTCCTCACTGAAAGCTTTGATCTACAATAGAGTTCCTTCACAGGAAAAAGATGACATTTTTATCGTCTTGTAACAAACAAACCACAACTGTTCTAAAATCTATAAAAAAGAAGCCTCTTTAGCTAATTACACCAGGGTTTTTCAACCTTTTCACCCATTGTACCACTTTTAGGATATGGCAACATCTGAGTACCACCAGTCGCCTAGCAAGGTGTCAAAAACTTGATGATCAAAAAAAAAAAGGAAAAAAGTGATAAAGTACAGGTAGTCCTCGACTTACAACAGTTTGCTTAGTGACTGTTCAAAGTTACAATGGCACTGAAAAAAGTGCCCCCCAAGCCACAGCTGAGCAAGACACCTGCCTGCCCACCCGGCGGTGCTCTTCCTCCTGTCCGAGGTTTTCATTGTTGTGAGCATTTCTGTTGAGGATTGGCAGTGGGGGTGCGGTGGGGGTGTTCTGTTCTTCACGTTGGTAGGCATTGAATAGTCAGAGTCATGCACAGATAAGTCTTTATTCAAGTAAAATAGAACAACAAAATGGCTCCAACCCCTTTTATACAATCTCCCTGGGGCGTCGCCAGCCAATCATTGGAACGGCCTTTCCCGCTCAAATTGCATGCTTATTCATTCCTTGCAGACAGCAAGTCTCCCCGGGCAGACCACGTGATCTGCTGATTGTTCTGGTGCAGCTCCCTGCACCTGCTCTCAATCAAACCCAGTACATAACACCCCTTCCCACTTGGTTCAGGATTACATACTTGTTATTGTATAACACTACACCATTTCCATACACAATACAGCAAAACACACAACATTATAGGTCTTTGCCTCCCAATACAGTATAACAACAATATGGACAACATCATAGGTCTACATGCACAGACACAACATTATAGTGTAAGCATTTCAGACACTACAAAATTATAGAACCTGAATTGTGTGTTCCAATTCAACATTATAGCACAAGGAATAGTGTGTTCTGATTCCTAGGGAAATACTAGGCCGGTCCTGCTCACATTGACAGAAACCTCACGTAGTCCTGTAAGAACTTTGGTGGGCCTCTGACCCTCTCCAATCACCTTGGAGCTGCTGCAAGCGCCTGGTCTGCAAGCTCGCCTGCCAGGCTTGGCAGACCGGGACTTTGTGACCCGTCCGACACGGGTGAGACCGGATCGTGCACACTGGCCTGTTCCGGTTGGCTCAACCCTGCATTCCTCTGAGGGGTGGAATTCCCCTGATCAGCGTAAACAGCCGGTGGGAACGGTTGACCCAAGTCAGAGTCCCGCTGATCCATAGGAGCGAAGCCCGCGGTAGGACTGGCTTGGAAAGTCGATTCGGGGCAATGTCCCATGGCCGTGGTGCCCCAGTCCGGAGCCGCCTCGTGGGCAAGCCCTTCTTTGGACCATTGCAGTGATCTGCGGTCACTGTGCGGTTGATCTTCCCGATCAGGATCGAGAGGCTCGATGGCTTCCTCCCCCCCAGAGAGCAGAGCATGGGGTGGAAGGGTGGCTAGGTAATCACCAACGAAGCTGATCTATGCGCCGTCGTAGCACGCGACCATCTTCCAACGCCACTTCGTAGGAAAGGGGCCCAGTAACCTTAGCAACCACAGCTACCACCCACAATGGACCCGGACAATAGTTTCGTGTCCACACTGGATCACCCACTTTCACTAGCCTCAGTGCCTGCGGCTGGGACACCTGTGATGCCAATTTCCATGAGTGATCCTTTTTAAGGAGTCTTTAGCTGTGTGGACCATCCGCTCCGCTTGCCTGTTTGAAGCCAGGTGGAACGGTGCTGAAGTAGCATGCCGAATTAAATTCGCCCGCAGAAAGGACTGGAACTTCGCCGAAGTAAATTGAGCTCCGTTGTCAGAGACAATTACGTCTGGGAGGCCATGTGTTGCAAAAATGCCTCGAAGCACCCTAATGGTAATGGCGGCTGTCATGCTGGACACTGGAACGACTTCCAGCCACTTAGAGTGACTGTCCACCACTATGAGGAAGAGCTGCCCCTGAAAGGGGCCGGCGTAGTAGATATGGATCCTCGACCACAGAGCTAGGGTGGTTTCCCATCTATGGACAGGAACCTGTGGCATTTCAGGCCGGGACTGTTGGCAAGTGGTGCACCTGTGGACCTGGGCCTCGATGTCTTTATCGAGCCCAAACCACCACAGATGGCTGTGCACAAGCGCCTTCATGCGGACAATGCCCGGATGTCCCTCATGCAAGGACTCTAGGACTCTAGTCCTCAGTGAGGCTGGAATTACTACCCTGCTTCCCCATAGGATACAACCCTTAAAGGTAGACAACTCATGCTTCCTTTTCCAGAAGCTCTGGAAATTAGGGCCAGGACACGTGTCAGGCCATCCGGTGAGCACACAGTTCAACACGTGTGTTAGTGTGTTGTCGGTAGCTGTCTCTGCGGCTACATCCCCTGCATTGCGGGGCAACTCAGGCAAATCCTGGATAGACAGGATGTGGTTAGCCGGTGCTGGATCAGGCTCTAATTGTCTTAAGGGCAGCCTACTCAGGCCATCTGCATGGCCCATTTCTTTACCTGGCTTGTGCACCAAGCAATAATCATATGCGGACAGGAATATTGACCATCTCAACATTCTAGGAGAAATGATTTGGGGTGTCTGCTTGTTTGTTGTGAACAACCCCAGAAGTGGCTTGTGGTCCGTAAAGACCATAAAATGGTGGCCGTACAAGAAGTCGTGAAACTTCTTGATGCCCGCCACGATTGCCAAAGCTTCCCTATCTATTTGAGCGTAGTTTCACTCAACAGCAGACAGAGTCCTGGAATAGTATGCTATAGGGACTTGTGTCCCATCAGCTCTGAGGTGGCTTAAGAGATCCCATACGGGGATGCATCACAAGCTATGCTAATGGGCAATGTCTCATTGAAATGAGCCAACACTGCATTGGAAGATAATAAAGCTTTAACTTCTGCAAAACTCTGTTCGTGGACCCTCATCCACTTCCAAGGGGCCTGTTTGTCCAGGAGCCGGTGTAATGGCTCCGCTACTGCGGCCTTGTGGGGAAGAAAGGCATGATAGAAATTTAGAAGCCCCAGGAAGGCTTGAAGCTCTCCCTTTGTTTTTGGACTTGGTGCCTGCTGAATTGCTTTAAGCTTTGATTCCGCCCAAGAATTCCATGGAAGTGACTCCAATCTTGCACTTCTCTTGTTTGAGCTTCAGCCCTGCTTTGCGGAAACGCCGCAAAATGGCCCGAAGTCTATCTGCCAAGTTTTCGACTGACTCCCCTGCGATGAGGACATCATCGAAGTATGGACAGACCCCTGGAATATTACGGAGCGTGCGTTCCATCACGCTCTGATATATGCCAGGAGTTACATTCACCTCCAAACCTTAAAGGCTCCCCGGTGAGTTACAATTGTTTGGGCCTCTGCCGTGGCGTCATCCACCGGCAGTTGCTGGTAGGCCTGAGCGAAATCTAGTTTGGCGAAAATATGCCCTCCCTGTAGAGACGCCAGAATATGGCTAACTACAGGCACTGGATAGGAATGCTGCTGAAGAGCTTTATTTCATGTACATTTATAGTCAGCACAGATTCTGACTTCTCCATTGGCCTTTAGTGGCGTGACAATGGGGGTTTCCCATGGACTGGTGTCCACAAGTTCCAGAACGCCTTGCTGAATCAACTTGTCCAGCTCCTCATTTATCTTTTGCTTGAGAGCAAATGGCACCCGACGAGGCTTAATCCTTATCAGTGCTATTGAGGGATCAAGTCTTAAGGCAATAGGAGGCCCTTTGTATGCCCCTAACTCTGGGCTGAAAACATCAGCGAACTCCTTACAAACCTCTGTAAGGCTTGCCGTTTTCAGACTGTTTAGCCCCGTTACCTGGATGCCTAGTGCATCAAACCAATCGAGTCCAATCAGACTCGTGCGGTTGCCTTCGACCAATATGACATCTAACGGACCCTCAAAATTCCTAAATTTGACATTCAGTGTGGCCTCCCCCTTGACGCTGACTCTGGAATTCTGGAAATTGGTCAAGAGGATATTCGACGGCTTGAGCTTAACTCGATGGTCACCTTTCCTACATATTTGTCCCAGTGTTGTCTTAGAAATTATGGACAGAGTGGAGCCCGTGTCCAGTTCCATGTCCAAGGGAACTCCCTGCAGTTTAACTTCAAGATGAAGCTTCTTTTTCAAACGCCGGGTGGCCCCTGTTCTCAACATGCTTCTTCTCGTCACGCAAAACCTCACCCGGTTCTGACTAGGGACCCCGGTACCTTTCTGAAGCAACTCTTCCACAGAACAGTCTTTTGTTGATGCTGCTCCCTGTAAGGGGGTATAGAAGGGATCCGCGCCATTTTGTGTTGTTCTGTTGAACATTAAATAAAGAAGCAACTGTTGTTACTCCTGCCTCGTCTCAAAGCCTTACCAACGCACAGAACAGAACATTGGCGACGAAGGTGGGATCGTGCTGCAAGAAAACAACGAAAAGAAAATAGGCTGACTCATCACGGAAGGCCGAAGTGCTTGGAAGTTCGGCATTCTGATTGTGCGACTCTGCCTGCCAGTACGAAGACGCTGGAGGAGAGCTCGGCAAGATTCGTCCTGGAACCCCTTCACAAGCCGGAGCAGCATGAGGCGTTGACGAGGCCGCTAAGAAGTAACGATGTCGTAGATAGGGCGTTTCTCCGAATTCGATACAGCTCACCCTGAACGTTGGAGCTCATATGTGACCAGAGTAGAAAACTACTTCCGAGTAAACCAAGTTCGGAAAGACGGGCTCAAAGCCGCAATGTTACTGTGTGTCTGTGGGCAAGAGACATTTGATATTGCCAAAAATCCGGTTGCCCCAGCACCTCTGGAATCCATCGCTTACACTGAGCTGAAGAAAATGTTAAGGGAACATTTTGAACCGAAGCTATCGGTGATTGCCTGGCGTCATGCATTCGAACAGCGAGACCAAAGGCTAGGAGAGTCTGCTGCGGACTTTATTGCTGCG